TATACTGTATGCGAGTTGATTACACGTAAAAATAATATTATCATTCAGAACTGGAGAACAAATGAGCCTGAAACAGTAATTAACACTATATGAGTGACAACATATATGGCAAATGATTTATATTAAATTTCAAGGCATAAAATCGGATTTTACGATTGAGTTGTATTAAAGTAGAATGAAAACAAACAATATTTTATGATGAAGCGGTAGCCTAATGGTTAAGACGTTCAACTTTCACTCATTAGGGCCCAGATCTACACGCCAGTCTGCCTACTACGGTTTAAGCAACTGCGTAATATCATTAGCTGTCACACTGTGTGGTTCGTACCAAAGTATCTGGTGAATCAGTTGATTAACCCAACCACTGAGAAATTAAAAACCTATTTTGTTCCACTATAAGACTAATGTCTGACCGTTGGAATGGATGCAATGATGCGATAACGAACAACGCTTGAGTTTGATGTGAATACTGATTACGTAATTTTGACATCAAAGATAAGGTTATAGTCGGATGAAAATCGCTAAATTTATTTAAACGTACGTACAAAAAAAGTAAGAGTAAGCGTTACCTACAGTTACTTTCTTTTCATGAGTATGGGATTTCAGGAGGTACAAAGATTAACATGGAAGGTACAGTTACAAAAACCTCAACTACACCCCAGCGCGTATATGCTTGAATTTACTGTCCTTTGATTAATTTTTATGACAATCATCAATACAAAAACTATGTCAAGTTTTTTACTATTATAGCAGTTTTTTTAATTAATGTATTTAAATCATACTTTAAATATTTCTTTATATGTTTATGTAAAAATAAATAAAACATTTTCAAAAACTTTATATATATATATATATATATATATATATATTACCTTAAAGGACTCCATTTGATCTGTTGAACATCACCAGACTCCATAAATGTATAAACCTAAGGGTTTTTTTAAAAATAATTATAAGGAAATGTAATACTATTTATTACATTTGGTCAATGTTGTTTAAGATAGTTTTATTTCGCAACTCGACACATTAATCAACGCACGAAAGAAATTTATGTGACAATTTAAGACAACGACGTGTGCATGCGTACGTGTCATTCATTACTCAGGTTAGACTTGATAATTAGAAAAAAACTGACGATGGAATGGAATCATTTATGATGGATGATAAAATTATACAATTGTCATATTCTAACGAGTGAAAATGGAATTTCCGACGTTAAGCAAGAAGAAACTAACAAAAAGTTATCATGAAACAACATCAGATATTCTATTTTCTACTCATTGAAATATCACAAATACATTATTTTTATTATTTTCCCTGAATAATTAATTAAATTCAAAAGCTTGCTTCGGATAGTATTCAAGGAAATTAAATGTGCATTCCAATGAGAAGTTTCATATCAAAACGATGCAGATATCTTATGTTTCTCTCTCTCTCTCTCTCTCACTCGATCTGTGACTTTTCTTTTACTACTGGTTCGTGGAAATTGGATAGGAAGATCAATATTATCAATAGTACTAATTTTTAAGTCTGCAAAATATAAACTAATGTAAATTTATTGAATTAGAATGCTGTCAATTGACTACTTTAGCATCTCACTAATGCCAGTGTTAGTTCCTACGTTAAATATATTCAAGTGATATTTTAATTTATTGAAGACTGATACATTGATTGTGAGGGAGTTTAAATTAATTCTTTACAATCACGAAGAGGTGATACAGAAAAATAGATTTTTAATATGATCATGAATTATAAATCCTTTAGCTTATTTCAATTCCACGTTTGAATATGCCGAGAAACAAACGCTGAAAGTTGACCATTTATTGTCAAGTAGTACAAATTAAAGTCTGTTGACAGGAAATTGAATTGCATATTCTTATACTCTTTTTAAAACAATTTTTCAGAATAATAAACTTTAACATAAAAAGACACAAAGTCATCGTACACTAGAAAATTTAGTTAACAAGCTGGAGTTGTTAAAAAGCTTTGGTCTGATGAATCGATATTCTAAAATCAAAACGTGGTCAGAAAAAGAAAGAACCTCAATTCAATCGTGAATAACCACAACCTAAGCAAAAAATAGTTGAATATAAACCTACAGGTTTTTCTAAATTATCCAATCTCCATAAAGAAATCTGACGCTGAAATTTGGAAAATATAAAAAGTAAAAATGAGTATAATTTTTCAGGCAGAAAGAGTATGAATTATGAGAAGTTTTTAGGCTAATAATAATCGATAAGCTATTTAGATCAACAAAATCGATGGACTGCTTCAATATATTTGGATCACCTGTTTCCTAAGATCAAAATATTCCAACAAGTTATATCTTTTTGTTTCTCATAAAACGTCAATTATGCCTATAAATCGCATAATCGATTTAGTCGAGTGTATGAAAAGTTTACAACATGTCGCTTAACAAAGCACAAAAAAGTACAATTCGAGACATCGCAGTGGCTGGTAGCATGCTAAGAAAAGAATAAACGCTTATAAGATGTAGGTTTTTGAAACGCTTACTCATAACTGCCTATCACTAATTGGTTTGTAAAGGAAACTTGTTGAAACATTCCGTGCTGATGATTCCATATTGTAACTAATATAAAATATTGAGTTGAGCCCTTATTCTCACTATTATTACACAGCTTTTCTAAGCACTATGTCTATTAAAATCTACATATTTGGATGAAAAGCTACTGGTAGTTAATTATAGTGCATTCGACAATGTAAACGTCGAAGGAAAAAAACGATTAACCCGACTAAAATCAATAGCTTGACTAGTTGACAGAATTATCAGATCAGTCTTAAAGTTTGATAACTTAGTGATTAACCAACTTCAATCAATGTCCCCGAGGTTTGTTTTATTCATTTTTATTTATTTTCGCTTCACAAAAACTGGTAATTTTAGTCCATATTCTAACTTCTTGTACTGATAGTATTCACAGCTTAACTTTACAAACAATCATTTTGTATTGAAATTTTCGGAATAAAAATAAAGACAATTAGTTGACAGTTTACAGATCAGTCACTAGATTTCATAAATCATTAGTATTTCTTTGATAATCCATTTTCCTCTAGTTCTTATTGTAAACAGTATGGGTATTCAAATCTAATGTGAACGAGAAGAAAAATCATAATTGACGAATTTTTTGGATATCTATATATAGATATATTTAGATATAGATATATATAGATAGATATACACGTAGGACGAAAATTTACTAACATAATTAATAAAGCTGATTAAATCTAATAAACCCGAAAGTCAAAGTGCAATAATTAAGTGTCAATAAGTGCACAGTTTGAATGTAAGTCACTACAATTCTATCAAACCAAATTTTACAAAGATAGATATTTGGATTTAATCTCATGTTTTTAAGAACAAAAATAATGCATTCTAGTTGATAACCAAATAATATATGGCCAGAAAATTAAAATGATGCGCAGAAAAACTTACCTCACAGAATGAAGCGAAACGTTTACTGCATAAAGGATCAACTGTTAAACCATTGACTGCCCTAGTTGTGGTAATTTGACAAACTTTTGACGGATCTATTATAGGTACCCAAAAAAGATAGTGAAGAATGAACTAAACAACTAAAGAATAATCAGTCTACAATGAAACTATTTTGTATGTAGAAACAGCCAATAAAGTTAATAGGTATTATCTCACGTAAAATAGCTCACTGACAGATAAATTTACATTGTTCAAAAGAAAGGAAGTTAGCAAGCAAAAGTACAGATGATTGAAAATTAAAAAACAAATAGAAATGAATAGGTAACTGAATAATAAGAAAGTAACAACTGAATATAAGGGGAATGTTTTTAAGAATCATGAGTGTCATAGGACATAATAAAGTTGTCTGCCACTGACTATAGCAGTTTCATTGACCTAGTCCGGAAGCCTAAAATACCCTAAAAAGTGACATAGCTGGCTGATGTTACGAAAGAAAAAGCGAGAATGTTATCTGAAGTATTAGTGACTCAAAAAACAGAAGTATTTCACGCCCTTTACAAACTAAGCATGACAATCAGGTAGTAAGTCTATCTACATCACATTAACTTTTTCTTATAGAAGTTGCATTTAATTAATAGGTTAGAATGCTTGAACAACCGTTTAAATGCATCAATAATTTGATTTAATTAGTGTGTTAATTTTCTTTAAATCTATCAATAATTATCTTAAACATCTATTTGTGTAAATATTTCAGGGAAAGTAAGATTCGGTCACAGTAAAAAACACATCCTAGATAACTAATATAAATTTACAGACGTACCAGATAAATCGAACACTTTCAGGTAAGTTCCTGACATTCCGGCAATAAATGAACTTTTAGAAAGCCATGCAAATGATGAAGTATCTTGAATGCCTTTCCGTAAAATGAAAACCAAAAATATCAGTGATCAGTGATCCCCTTACTATTGATAAATATCGATATAAGAACCTACAATTTATTGTGGACATTTCAAAATGTTACAAATACTTTACGCACACCTGAAGTATCAGAATATATACAAAGAAAGACTCAGAGTTATAATGTATCCTATTAGATATAAAGTCATGTTAGAAGGCACACTATACACTTTGCAGAAGTTGATCAGTCCACATTTTGATACATTTTATCAGTCGCAAATTAGCCGGCGCTATCTCAAAGGTAAAATTGTTAGTTTAATTAATATTGGCAAGTAAATGAGGCTTATCTCTATATTGTTAATAGCTTTTGTCAAGGTTGTGGAAATATCTGATGCAGCAAAGCAAGAGTTGAGCCTGATAGTTAAGTTTTGATCCCATTGAAGAGTGAATATCGAGGTCAAAAAAAAACATGCTACGAGTCACGCGTGGAGAGATTCAGACACTTCACTTCTACCTGAAGTTTGTGATAGTGTTGTTGAGAAGAACAACGAAATCTCCATTACCAAAACATCCAGCTCAGAAAATGAAACTTCATCACAATCATCCACCTGAGCTACAAATTTTCTCCACCATCTCAAAGTGAATAACCTGGCTGCCATATCCTCAAAATGCTCATCTATTAAATGACTTGTAATCAGTATTTTGTATGCAATGATGTTATTTCGTCAAAAGAAAAATCCATTCTACTGAGCACCTGTCCTGTCCTCTGATATCAATTTGGTTACAGACTTCAGTAATTCGGTTTCGTGACCAACCATCACGCAACTGCATTGTGTTATTGCATATTATCAGTTTACTAACACATGTCCTCCGTTAATTTAACAACCGTCAAGCATTATTTTATTATCCCGACCGTAGCTGCTACCTTGACGTGGTGGTCAGGCTAGTCTATCGTGATGACTCAACAGAGCTATATTGGCTGGAACATAAGTTCCTGTATGTTCTACCATGTCAGGCATGTCGATTGGAGGACGGTAAGACTAGAAGCAGCTTACAATTAATTTGATTTCTTTACATCTAAGTATACACTTAAAATCATAGAAAACCACATCATGACGCCACCATGCCTAGGTGATTTCAAGGCACGGATTACTATATTTTCGTTACCTGAGCATTGATACTGAATTACAACATAAAGTCTCTTAATAAATCTGTATGGATTACTTCTTATCGTACATGTTGATTACACCAAAATAGATACAAGACGAGTATTAACATACCTAAGTCACACAGAGGTTTGTCACATGTAGTTGTACTAGATATCCATTCTTTTTCCGAAACCGAAGAATATATGGAAACAAGTGATGACGTAGCTTGAGTATCTGGTACATTATAATCTGGTCCGTTTAATGCGAATGGGAGTGAATATGTATGCGTATGCATATCATTTGCACAAACTGAACCTCGATCTGCAGACTTCGTATTGTTGGACCGCGATCCAGTGTATTTTGTCACATCCCATATTAGTACGGAAGGCTCTCTGCTGTTTCGAGGTCTCTCAAAACCCTGAGCTAGCTATTTAGTTGAAAGAAGTCCATAAAACGAACAATAATAATATGGAAATAAGATTAATAACAGTGGAAATTATTGATAAACTTTAAATGAACAATCAATTCGCTATAATGCAATTTTCTAAATTTAGTGTGAAATGGAGAACATCCTTCATTCCAAATAGTAACTAAATCAGGACCAAATGCATGAGCCTATACCCGTTGAATGAGCTGCACATTCAGGTGAACCAGTACTTGAATTCGTTGTCAACTGGCCTACAATAAATTTAGACTGTATAAACGCCTTCGTTTATATTATGTGGAAACTTATTGATCTTGGGTAAGATCAAAATTAACTAAGACACCTATAGGACGAGGTCAGATGTAATATGGTTTGGCAGAAATCCTGAAACCGTGAAACAATAACTAAGGTACTGACTTGAAGCAAGATTTTATAAATTCAGAATTTTTACTGAAACTGATGAGGTTTTCGAAAACATCTGTATTTCGAATCGCGACCAATCAGACCAAAAACTAGATTATATAGGCATTGCAGAAGACCTAGAGATGAACGATGCATTACTTAACACTATCGTCATAAGTGTGAATACCTCTTGAACCGTTTGTCTTCGAAACAGAGATAACTACAAATGCATGAACTTAAAGAGATACCAAATACAAACAGAAAGCGGTAGACTTGCCAAGTTACGTTTCCAAGGGTTCCAAACAAGAAAAGTAGTGTTCCTCGCGAATCTAGGGGCTTTAACAAGTCATAATTTTAAAAGTGAGAAGTACTCAATTCCTTATTTTGTAAACCGAATCTGTCTTCTTTAACACTACAGTTAGGGAGCCTATAACAGGGTTAACTTACGGACTCTCAATTTACCCCATTAGTTTGACACATCCAACGTTATGAGTAATTGCAATCAAATGATTCGGGACGACATCGAGGTTTGGTTTATTGCTACTGGATACCCAAGCTACACACTAAAACTCAGTTATACTGTAATAAAACAAACCTGTGGTGACACATTATTACTCCAAACATTCAGAACGGAAAGTAAGAATTTTCGCTTTGAACCAATAATAAAACCTAGTAATATAAAGCAGTGACGAGTTCAAAATGGATCTATCCAAATACCATTCGAATTCCCTGTTCCACATGAAGATTGTTCCAGTCGAAACAAGTAAACATGGTGTTTCCAAATAACGATGAAAACATCAGATTTACTAGGAGGCCATTGAATATCATATTCAAAGGAATACGGCATTAGTTAAGGGAACCCGCCTTTTCTACAGCACGGCCTTGATTAAAGGCGGTCCTTTTGTTTTGAAGCAGTTCTCGATTGGATAGCTGTAAGAAAAGATTATTCGTATGTTATTGGAGATTTTCATGGTCTTTGGATTCATGAAAGCTATCAAAACCATCTCCAGCAATTATATACTTATGCCTCGTAAAGCAATTTCCACCAAACACTAAATTGGACTCTTCTTTCAATTTCTAACCGAGTACTATTCACACACCTCAGATTCTTGGTGAAATGTGCGATTCGATTTCCCTCTTTCCATTATGCCATTATGAGTCGGAGTCAGAGCTCACCTTGTGATTCAGTTTAGTGATTTCTGCAATGCATACCCTATCCACCTCTATCGTTTTTTCCTAATTTCGAATCCGTCTGGAATCTTATTTGTTCCCTGCTACGATAGATTGTTTCTGATGGCGAATGGAGAACGAATCTGAAGTATTCTGCCTAGACAACCTTGACACCCTCATTAGTGAGCTATACATGACTTGGCACGCACAAGAAAATACTGTATATTCTATGTCCTAACATTAGATATAAGTTTATATCACTTTAAACATCTTGATATTATCTCGGTTTTCATTTTTTTCATCATATTTATATACATTCTTTTCGGAACACATACTTAAGCTTTTTGGGATTAGTTCCCTTGCACCTGAAGACTTCTAGCTAGTGTCCTGTCCTGACACCAGCACCGCATGACAGACTCATGTGCACGATTCCTCAACGATGAAGCATATTTCAACAAAGATATGTTTCTATACTACGAGGAACAGTTAATTTAAGTGGGTCTTGGTAGCACAGCACTGATAATCTTCCAAAAAATGCAGGAAACTCTGCAGTTTCCTTAGCCCAAATCCCTCAGAAACAAACATTCCGGGAAACTTTCTATCCGAAAACCGGTATTGAAAAACCTCATCAGTGGAAAAAGCCACATCCCGTATTTCACTGATGTGACTACAAAAGTTTTCTGTATTGCCAGCACCTGTTGTAGAGTTTCGCGACCTTCGGGGGAATAAGACGATTGCATGCACGATCCAATTTGCGATTCGGAAGCTGCGGACGAAAAACCGGGTGCCAACTACCGAAAAAGTAAGTTTTACCTCAGGGTATGTCTATACAAAAACCGATTTGTTCCATTTTCGTTGTGATAGATGCGTCAAAAGTAATTAAAGATGTAGACCTACTTGGACACTATAACCTACTAGTCAACCCACAAAAACGGAGGCTAGTAAACGTGGATACAAAATTATCTGTTTGTAGAGTTTCTGGGGTTGTACATTATCTCTAATCATAGTGAGACAAATAAATCACTCATTCTTTAAGCCAACACTCGACAGGTAACCAAAACTGTTCTAAACATGGCAACACTTATCTTTGGCAACTAGAAATGTCGCAAGTCACATCACAACTAGGGGAATACCTGTATTCCCAAGAGCCCAGAAACTAGCCTCTGAAAAGCTAAGACTTGTAAGAAATGGAGTTGACGACATGATGGACTTAGGATTGTCCGACCGTCTAACAGCCCACGTTCATCCCCGTTGAGTTTGACCCCGAAATTTACAGCAGCGTTCGGCATCCAAGCGTACTCTGTTGTTTCCTGTTAACTCATGCCAGTGACTTAATGGGTACCTTGGACATGACGACCGTCTTCTCAAAGACTGACCATCGTAAAGCTCATAACCGAATACATATGACCAAGGAAGACAGTCCTAAAGCAGCTGCCGGCACTCCTTTCGAACTCTATGAATTTTTACGTATGCCATGCATTTGGGGAAATGTGGCTCAAACTTTTCATAGATTCATGACATCATTTTATGAGGTTTCAACTTTGTTAGTGCTTATATTAATTGCTATCTAATCACAAGTCCGGACAGAGTATCTCGTCTCAAGCATATGGACTTTGATTTCCAAAGAATTAAACCACCTGTTAACATACAGAAGGTTCAAGTCAGACCTCATTCCCTCAATTTTTAAGAGCATCCTATTGACGCTCAAGGTGTTCACTAACTGAAAAATGAAGTGGTGGCCGTTATGAGTTGCCCAGAACCGATCAAGGTCAAGCAAATGAGCATGTAAGATGGACTGGTAAATTTCTACCGATGTTTCATACCGAGTGGCACGCCTTATGAGATTCTTAACTTACCAACTACATGGGGATGCGAAAGCCAGTGATTCGGACAACACTGCAAAGAAAACATTTTCCGTGTTAAAAAATACATCACCAGGTCAAGAGGGTTGACAAACCTCGACGTGATAGCGCCCACCATTATCTCGGTAGACGCATCTGACTCAGAAACCGGAAGAGTCTTAGAATAATAGGTAAACAATCCCTGCCGGTGTTTTGTTTCCTCGATACGGGAAATGACCATCAGATGCTGCTGCATATGTGTCTGCCGAAGTCAAATTCTTACTGGTGATGTCTTGGATTTGACACTACCTCGGAGGAGGTGAATGAGATGAAAAGGTAAATGAATCCTAAATAAAAATAGTCTTGTTAGTCTTCGACATTCACGATGACCTCACTAGCTGGATTAGATAAGTCACGCATTCAAACCAGATGTTGCTGGGATACTCAGAGATAGTTTGACCTGACTTTATTCTACCTGGAACAATTTCGGGTTACTACGAGTAGCAAGTCCTGATAAAGGAGGACATTTAGGCATAATAATAAACACTGCATACCACTGAAAACCAGCGAGCTTTGTGTATGTTGATGAGATATCCTTGTTCCCCGTCTGCTGGCACTTGTTCCTCCCGCCAAATCTTGCTGAACAATGTGGAGAAGCTCTGAAGTTACTTATTTGTCTACTTTCAATGTATCAGCCGTTATGTTGTCTAGTCCTGTCCCCTTACCACTGTTGATTTGTCCAATGGTTATGCTGATTTTCTCGACTGTTGGTGTGATGAAATCTTTAGAAATATCTTTAAGTGTTGCTTCTGTTTAGAATAAATTAGTTCAAGATCTTTTAAAAGAGCTTCGGTGTTCGTCTTCACTTGCTTGCTTTTCTTCTGCATATACGATATGTGCTATGACACTTTCCTCTTTCGAACGATATCCTTTACTATCCTCTCATTCTCCCTATCTTGAACGTAGTTAACAAGGCAACAAAATCGATTGCTTATAATAGTACTACTTGTAGCCCAAAAAATTCAGGACACGTATAAGTTACCGTTTTCAATGATCCGTTTCCAGTTGTATATCAAGATAATTTTTCTCGTCATCCCGTATATCATGCAAGGCTTCAGCTTATTGCTCAGAACCATCATGAATTACTTGAGCTTATCGGTGTGATATCCCGAAAAAAAGCCTAGTCAACTTTTATCATTCTGTGTTTCTCATCGTCCAGAAGTTTCTAGCTTCAGGTTAATCTTAAACCAATACCGGGTGGTGATCTGAATCTATATCAACTCTTTTCTTTACTTTTCCACCCTTATAAATATTCCTCTGATCGATGAAATCAAGTATAAAAATATCTTAACACAACAATAACCTAAGAAGTAGATACATAAATGAGTTGAATGAATGCAAAATAAAAGTAGATAAATTGTTATAATACTTGTTATTTTTTAGAATTATGCACATTCAGAGGTCCAGATATGCATGATATAGGGTAAATAATCCCAAGAAGTCGCAGATATAGATCAACAGTGTTTCCTGTGTAGTATGATGTTTCATATCAGCCAAATATATATATATATATATATATCCTAAAGATATCTTGATATCCCATGTTGTCCATCCCAACTCAGGTGTTTAGTTTGACCACCAAGATGGTCAGGTCCTTCACTGGGAACTTCTCCACAACTGACCTCAGTCTCTCGTCGTCATTGTCTTCACTGACATTGTCAATGGGGGCATTTGACTAATCGAATATATTATAATCTTCTCTTTTTCTTTGAGGGAAGCTTTGATATTGCTAGGTAGGCGAAAATCCCATTTTATAAGTTCTATTTGTACTACTTTTGACAGCATCACTTTTTTGCAAAACAAAATTTCTCCTGTACGGCACACCGAATGATAAAGAAATATCCCATCTAACGAGAACAGACAGAAATCCCAATAACGTTTGTGGTGCTGAGACCAACCTCATCTGTTCTTAAATGTTTTGAACGTGAAAGTGAAAGGTAAAATTGGGCAACAAGATTCCAAGGCGGTGTTATAGTTAAGTCTGGGTTGACAATGAACACTACTACAGACAAATTTCTTTCGGGTCTTAACTCGTCATCCCGCCGTGAACCAAAAAGAGAGAAGGAGAGATGGTCAAGAATAAGGAGTATATTTGATGGTGTTTTCGTGGTATCAAAATAATATCAAAACCGTACCTGAGGAAACGGGCGTAAATGTAGACGGCATCAAAAGTGAGATGGCACCCAAGAGTGTGTAATTCAAAAAGTGCGAATAAACAAGAAGTATACTAAAACATCCATTGGTACGATTGGTTGTAATAATGAATGTTTCTGTTCAACTAATCGCGTTTTATTCGTAAAAGTGGAGTCATCACTGGTTTTTAGTCTACAATGAAATGTGTAACATCACTGAGGATTTGGTACTGGCGAGAGTCTGTTTCTTAACACAAGTATTGGATTTTCTCAGGCAAAGCCAAATCAGTGGTGATTCCTGTTGTGTTAACCACAGGATCAAAGCTGGGGTTCGGCCTGAAGAATTACTGTCTAGGCAGTTTAGATACGCGTTATTGCCCAGTTGAAACAAAAACAAAGTGATTGCGTAAGTGACGGTTCCAATATAAATATACATCATCACCTGAACAAATATTACCACTCAATTATTCCACCAACAAATGCTATTCTGTTCTTTCTGGATATATCAGATTCGTTCGAAAGATAATATTTGGTCGCTTAATAACACAGAGAGCTTTCTATTATAGAAGAGTGCTTCAATTCACAATCAAAATGCACAATTCCAGTCAATGCAGACAACACGATCAAAGGAGGAACAAGATAGTATGGCTGCCGCCATGACTAAGTAC